GCAGGAAGAGGGAAAGAGAGAACAAACCCCGTCATTTTGGTAGTGAAGGTGCAGGCACAGGCTGGTGAGATGCTCAGGAGAAACTCTGAGAACCTCGGGTCACTCAAGTACATGAGGTGCATTTCTGGACAAAGAAGACTGGACCGTTTGACAGTCAGAGCCAACTGGAAAAACAAAGATATTCTTCCTGCATTTCTAGAGCTAACTGGACACCAACCCAGGGAATCTGGAGACCCAGGTGCTCCTTCCAACTCTGCTGTTAGCTGAGCTGAGACCAGTAGATTTTCCTCTCTAGTTTCAGTTTCTTCAATAGTATAACAGTGATAACCATAGTTGTCGCCAGGCACGGGGTTGCAGGCCTGTCATCCCAGCAGTTTGGGAGGCTGAGGCAGGAGGATCGTGAGTTCAAAGCCAACCTCAGCAAAAGTGAGGCCCTAAGCAAAAGTGAGACCCTGTCTCTAAATAAAATACAAAACAGGGCTGGGGTGTGGCTCAGTGGTTGAGCGTCCCTGAGTTCAATCCCTAATACCTCCCTCGCCACAAGGAAAATTTTTAAAAAATAACTATAGTTAGTGGTATAAGAGGAAGAAGAAAAAAGAAGATGAAGGAGAAGATTTATACATATATACATACATGCATACACACACCAGGTATTGGACCCAGGGGCACTCAACCATTGAGCCCCATCCCCAGCCCTTTTTTATATTTTATTTAGAGACAGGGTCTCACTGAGTTCCTTAAGGCCTTGCTAATTTGCTGAGGCTGGCTTTGAACTCATGATCCTCCTGCCTCAGCCTCCCGAGTCACTGGGATAACAGGCATGTGCCACCATACCCAGTCAGGAGAAGATATTTTAACATTTGTTGAGGATTATGAGCCTGAGATGTTCTCTCAGTTAATATGGACAACAATCCTATGAGGTAGGCAGTGTCCATCTCAAACCCTTTGACCATCCAACTACCAAATTGATGTTTTGTCGGCTTCTTGAACTTGTCACACTTTTCCTCCCTGAGGACTGTCACATACGCTGCTCCCTCTGCCTGGGGCACTTCCTCCCCTACATTTTGCATGGCTTCCTCTTCTTTATCTTCTAGTTCTTATATGCGAAATAACATCCTTCCTATCTGGAACAGCTTCCCCTTCAATCATGATATAGACACAATTTCTAATGATTTTATTTGTATATTCTTGGGTTCTCTCTCCTTCAAGCAGCATTAAGCTCCGTGATAGCCAGAGAACTTCTTTACCTGTCTTCTCTGGTGTGCTGCTGATCTTGCTGCCCTCCAGCAGCGGGAATCCAGTTGAGTCGACCATTAAACATCTGCTGAAGGAACCAGTGGCTCAGCCCTGATTTAGCAGAGGCGGATACTGGGATTGGGAGTGTGGTAGGACAGGATGGGAACTTTAGGTGTGTAAGAGGTGACAGGCTGTGGCTCTGCACGCTCACACCCAGCAGCTCTGCTGACTGACATTTAACCACAGAGGCCTGCAGTGGCTGACAGGTACCTGTGACAGATAACTGCAGTGGTGGAAGCAGGAAACACAGCAAAGGAGACAGAACAGTCCCCCTTTTGTACAGTGAAAGTCCCTAAGCCATATGATCTAGGAGTCCCTAGGCTGTTGACAAGCTTGTACAATATAAAAGGAATGTACAATGCACCCTCCAATAGACTTGCACCAACCCCCGGGCCTTAATGTCCCTCAAACTCACTTATGTATAAGTAAAAGCCCTGCTGTGCTCGGGGCTCAGACTTTGGGAATTATCCCTCCTGGCGTTGGCACCACTAATAAAGTGTTGCTTCTGGATCTTGCTGTCCTGACCCTCATTTTCTGCTACAGGAGAAATATAGTAATCTACCCAGTGTCCTCTGGCTAGCAATTGGCTCCAACTTGAATCTGCCTAACTCCAGAACTGCTCTGCTCTGTCACTTGGGGTGAAGTGCTGGGTGAGGATTGGAAGGGGAACTGGTGGGAAGAACTGCTTCCGTTTCCTCCCACTTTACGTTGGCTCTGCAGCACTAAGAGAATCTCGACAGCTACCCCAAGAGACATGTGTCCTCATTGCCTTGATGGTTCTATTTACAGGACCAGGCCCCCTGTCTGATGCACTCTGGGGGAGCTGATTTCACTCTCTCAAACATGGAATCCTCGTCCCTGTAATGAGTTAATCACTCAGCAGGATCTGACTCTTCCTGTGTTCCGCAGACATTATCCGCTTAATCCTCACCCAAACCATGTGAATTTCATGTGGGTCACACAGTATGATTTCCCTTTCATCAACCTGAAAGCCACAGGTATCACATTTACCTGGAGTCTAATGCTTTGTGTTCTCAAAGCTCAATAAAGGCTCCAAGAAAAAAAAAAATAATGGTGTACATGGTTTCAATAGTTGGGTGCCTCCTTTCCACACCTGTAACTCTTTGAACAAGTTAAATACATACTTATCATTCCCTCTTAAGTTTCACCTGGCGGTATTCATCAGACCCTGCTACCTAATACACAACTTTAATATGAGATGAAAAGCCAAGGTAGTGTCTACATAGCTATTAAGCACTGAAATGAACAAGATTCATCTTCATCTTCTTGAACTTGATGTGTTTTAAATGCCCCCCAAGGGATTTTTTTTAAATGCAAATTTGTGAAGTGGTTAAGTGTGATTAAGTGATTATTCTATTTCTATTTTCTATTCTGATTTTTTTTTTGGGGGGGGGGTACCAGGGATTGAACCCAAGGGCATTTAACCACTAAGCCACATCCCCAGCCCTTTTAATTAATTTATTTATTTTTGAAACAGGGTCCCATTAGGTTGCTTAGGTTCTGGCTAAGTTGCTGAGGCCGGCTTGCGATCCTCCTGCCTCAGCCTCCCCCAAGCTGCCTGCCATACTTTTAACATAGGAATATTAAGCTTCACACGCTCATCACAACACTGTTGTCATTAGAAAATATGATCATATGTGTTACGTGTTGGGCACAACAACTGGCCCATCAAAGGGCCACAGTGGTCAATGCCACCTCATGTACTTCTTTGGATAACTTGCCTGTTACACACTGAAGGTTCTTACCCTGAGAAATGCATATGTGTAAATATCACACAAATCTCTCTGTGAATTAGGAGAGGGTCGCACATAAGTATATATTCCTCTTTTTTAATTCTAGCAAGCTGCGTGTGGTGGCACACACTTGTAATCCCAGTGACTTGGGAGATTGAGGCAGGAGGATCACAGGTTCACGGCCAGACTCAGCAACTTAATTTTCTCAGCAGTTGAGGGAGGTTTATAAAATGACCCTGTTTTACAGATTAGGAAATTTAGAGCCAGAAAGAGTTCTCTCTACAGCTATAGTCCAGGGCTTCAGACTCCATGGTAATTTCTAGAAGAAGTCTTACCAAAAATGCTATTTTGACATGGTAGAGGGGGTGGGATATCCAGTATTATATGATGAAATATATATTTAACTACTGAACAATTAAAATCACTTTCTCCTTATTCCCCATTCCTACTGATACTGAAATCATTTGGCCATGAAAAAAATCAGCAAATCTGCACCCCAGGGACAGAGATGGGGGTCCCCTTCAGCCATGGTGTTCTGTACTTTATTCCCAGATTATGGAGTGGGCTGGAGTGGCCTCTGAATGCCTGTAACCCTATGGGTTAGGTAGACTATGAAGGAAAGCTAGCGCTCTGAAAAAAATCTGTTGCTAGGATGTTGACTCCCGGGAGCTGAGGGTTGTGTGGATTTGCCTAGGGAGTGAATCTAAATTTCCTACCTTTTGGCCTGGAACAACTTATCACAGCACCTACTATTTACAGTAATAATGTTTGCTAATATTTGTTGAGTGCTAACACTGTGCAGGGAGGATCTGTTCTAAATGCTTCACACTCATTAGCATATATGAATATATCTTGCTTTCTACATCTACCATATATATATATATATATATATATATATATATATATATATATATATATTTTTTTTTTTTTTTTTTTTTTTTTTCTTAATGGAGCTGGGTTTTGTTTTGTTTGGTACCAGAGGCACTTGACCATTGAGGCACATCCCCAGCCCTTTTTTATATTTTATCAGAGACAGGGTTTTGCTGAGTTGCTTAGGGCCTCACTAAGTTGCTGAGGCTGGCTTTGAACTCGTGATCCTCCAAGCTGCTGGGATTACAGGTGTGCACCACTGCACCTGGCTTGTTTCTAGTCTTTAAATACTGATTTAAATAGCAAATAAAACTGTCCCCAAACATTCCCTGTGAAGGATTCATAAGGCATTGTTATCATTAACCAGTCTCTTCCATTGGTAACCCATTAGCACACGGCTTTCCAGGTCATTGACTATGACATACGTCTCCTCCCTCGGATGCATGGCAGCTCTTTACAAACTGAGAGGGGACACAGCCCTGGTCCCCAACAATTCTTCAGTAACATTCCTCTAGCTCACCAAATTATTCTCTAGACCTCACTATTGTTGCAAGTTTCAAGCTCCAGCCTTAACCAAACATGAGGGTGTTCTTTGGAAGGACCACAGCCACCCTTGATCCAGACACTAAGCTCCTAATTTTAATTATTATATATTATTAATGCATATGTAAAATAAAATATATAAAATACAAAATATTAAATATTTAAGAGTACATATAATAAATTATATTAAATAAAATATAATAAAATATTACATATAAATATATAATAAAATATATAAAATATTATTCTATAAAATAAATAAATATAAAAATATATAATATATAACATATATGTATTATATATTTTTAAAACATGTATAAAAACATAAAAATATCGTACATAAAATATATATAAATAAATAATATTATAAATAAATATTTATATATTATATATAACATATATAAATAAATTATATCATAAATATTTATATATTATGTGTAACACATCTGATTTTATTTCACGTACATATTTTAATTTATATATTTAAGTCAACGTCGTCCTAATAGCACCTTCTCTCTCTCTCTCTCTTCTCCACAGCTTTTTGCCATCTTTGCATTTGCAACATGTGGTGGCTACTCTGGAGGCCTTCGGCTAAGTGTGGACTGCGTCAACAAGACAGAAAGTAACCTCAGCATCGACATAGCATTCGCCTACCCCTTCAGGTAGGGCATGGCCGTTTGCTCCCCAGCTTCGCAAAGAGGGGGCTTTCTTCCATCGGGGGTTTCTCCCAGGGGCTTCTGGGTAAACTGAAAGGACTCTGTTCATACCCTGAGATTCCCAAAGGGGTGTTCACCCACTTCCCCACCCTGGGAGGATCATGAGTCGTACCTGCAAGTCAGAATGGACTGTCCTCCGAAACAAAACAAAACAGAAAAATACCCCCAACAAAATCAACTTATTACCCAGGATATTGGGGGCTATCAATACAGTTACCCTAGTTCTACAGTTCCCCTCCATTCCATTTCTCCATCCTTAAGGTCCCCAAATTCTCTCCAGATTTGTGTCACCTTTCATATCCTATTGATGCAGTTCTGGCTATTTAATACATTTAATAATATTAATACTGAATACTTTTCCATGGGCCGGACACTCTGCTCAGCTGGTTCACCTGAGTAATTGCATTACATCATCACACTGACCCTGAAGGGTGTGCTATCACCCTCTCCATCTACAAATGAGGAAACTGAGACACAGGTGTGTTTGCTCATATTCCCTTAGCCAGTGAGAGATGGGGTCAGTGTTTGAGCCCCCCTGTCTTGAGCCAGGGCTCAGATCTCTATTGATACACTTAAACTATGAGAAATGTAAGCCTCTTTACAAATTCAGGATGAAAGACAATGCCTTATCTATGTTTGTGTCCTGTATACTAAATGATAGCTCGATGCCTATTCCAAACCTCACATCTTTTGATTCCGATCCATATAGCCAAAGTGGATTAATTGAACTCAAGGCAAATACGATTAATTTATGTAAAACTCCCATATAATTGGCATCAAATTACGGGTGTGTTTTTCAAAAACAACATACAATTCATTATATTGACATCTTGTTAGTATACTCTCCTATTCCTTTCAACTAATGAATGTTTGCTAGTATTCATTTTGTACCAAGCATGGTGCTGGCGCTATGATTACAGAAAATGAGTAAAAATTAACACCCCCACATTAAAAAAAAAACAGGTAAGTACAGTGTTTTTCAAGACTATTTTCATGGAGACCTAGATAACTAATGTTACTAAGTGGAAAGAAATGAAGGAGGAAAAATAGGAAAGGAGAAGAGGTGGGAGAGAAAAAGAAAGAGTCACTGGGAGGAAGAATTTTAAAGTAGAATCAAATCTAAGAAATACTTGTTAGCACTTTTTTTTTTTTTTTTTTTTGGTACTGAGGATTGAACCCAGAGGTGCTTTATCCCTGAGCCACATCCCAGCCCTTTTTTAAATTTTTTTTTAATTTTGATACTGGGTCTTGCTAAGTTGCTTGGGACCTCACTAAGTTTCTGAGACTGGCCTCAAACTTGCAATCCTCCTGCCTCAGCCTCCCCAGTCACTGGGTATACAGGTGTGCGCCGCCACACCTGGCTAGCACTTTATCCTTCTAATGCTCATTTTGAAATCATCTAAAGAAGCACAGTATTCCCCCCCAAATACACAAAAACTCATTTTTTCCCACTGGATATCTCAGAGGCTTTGTATATCATGGAATGTACCTTTTAAATGTTGTTCTATCAAACTTTTCCTAGTCTAAGACAAAGCGGCCTCAATTCATAGGTAATGAATCACAGAGAAGTGACATTTTTACCAATATTCTGACTGTTAAATTTTAAGATTTGCAGACACCCTTGCACCAGGACTGTTTTTAACAATTACAGAGTGGAGCTCAGAAATACTAAGCATATCATCCCTGGCAATCCGGTCATGATAGCTATGCTGTGCTGGTGGACATGGGCTGGGGGTTTTTGACACTTCTGAAAGTTCTAGATGAAGCCTTTGGCTTGTGGAGGAGAGTGGCCATGCTGATGCCTGCTCACCGAAGAGCATTCATGATCTAGGGTCAGAGTAGAGAATTGGCAATGGACAGGAGATGGGCATTGGATGTTTACTAACCTCAGTCAAGAATTCATTAAGTCAGAGCCAGAATTCATTAGGTCAGAGCCAGTAGTGGTGGTGCACGCCTGTAATCCCAGCAGTTTAGGAGGCTGAGACAGGAGGATCACGAGTTCAAAGCCAGCCTCAGCAACAGCGAAGTGCTAAGCACCTAGTGAGACCCTGTTTCTAAATAAAATACAAAATAGGGCTGGGGATGGGGCTCAGTGGTTGAGTGTCCCTGATTTCAATCCTTGGTACCCCTCCCCACCCTGCAAAACATGAGCTTGAAGCTCTGGGCTGGTCCTCCTGGGCTCTCTTCCTCTTCCACACAAATGGTCCATCCCCATCATCCCATACCCTGCAGACTCTCCAATACCTCTTGGGAAGCCCCAGTCTCCTAAAAGCAATTTAAAATCTACAGTTCAGGAAGAAAGGAGCCTTTTATAACAGGATCTCAGCAACTTATCCAGGCCCTGTCTCTAAATAAAATGGGCTTGGGATGTGGCTCAGTGGTCGAGTGCCCCTGAGTTCAATCCCTGGTACAACAACAACAACAAAACAACAACAAAAATTAAAATACTGGGGGTGTAACTCACTGGTAGAATGCCCCTGGGTCCAGTTCTCAGTAAGGCAAAAAATTCATTTGCTCCTAAAACTTCACAAGCCAATGCCAATGATTTGCTCATAACCTGAGAAATAAGAGCATGCAGTGTCTTCTGTTCAGTTCATCGCAAAAATGAGGACAACAAATTCAAATGCCAAGTCATCTGAACAAAAACAGTTATTTTGCAAATGACAGATCAAAGAAAGCTACTGAAGTTGTTATCAGACAAATATTCAGGATGTAAAATAATGTCAATTAGAAAAATCCTAGCTAACTCACAAAATACCCAAGTGCTGCTTTTGATAACTTGGCCCAAATATGCAATTCCTTTTCCACCTCCATACATGTGTATTTTTGACTTATGCCTTTCTTTTGGGGCAGAGGGTACTGTAGATTAAACTCAGGGGCACTCGGCCTCTGAGCCCCATCCCCAGCCCTATTTTATATTTGATTTAGAGACAGGGTCTCACTGAGTTGCTTAGCACCTCACTGTTGCTGAGGCTGGCTTTGAACTCGCAATCCTCCTGACTCAGCCTCCAGAGCCTCTGAGATTACAGGCATGCACCACCACCATGCATGGCTTGACTTGTACATTTATCAGAAAGAATTTCCATTCAACAACCTGTTGTTTTACTGTGGAGGGAAAACATTTTTTTTTCACCTGGCCTTCCTTTTGATTTGCGAGTAAAACACATAGTTTTCTCATCCACTATAACATGCTCTGTTGGTATGCAGTTTGCTTGATGAATTGGGAGTAGGGTCCTTCTGGACTCAGTACTCTGACTACTTTCTTTATAAGCCAAAGCGTGAAATGCTAGGCAGCCATTGAAAGTCATTTTCTCAATATTTAAAGATATGTAAATATCAATGAAAGATCAGTAGAATAGAGGAAAGGGACCAGGGGTGAGAAGGGGTGGGGGGAGTGCTGGAAAGTGATACTGACCAAATTATAGGGTTCTATCATGTGCATGGACAGGTGTGTAGCAACAATCCCACCATTATCTCCAGTACAATGCACCAATAAAAAAAGTGGGGTGGGGGGGAGGAAAGATACGTGAAATACACTCTGCATAGAATACAAGACTATATACGGTGTCATGATTCTGATTTGTTTTATACAGGCAGGCTGGAGCAGATATTACCACTGCCGTCCATCTGCTCTATCTCCGTACCATTCATGCCTACCCTTCTCACTATAAGCCCCCATAACCATTAAATATTTTTCTTTTTGGGGGGGGGCAGGGATGGTTACCAGAATTGAACCCAGGTGAGTTAACCACTGAGCCACCTCCCCAGCCCTGTTTTGTATTTTATTTAGAGACAGGGTCTCACTGAGTTGCTTAGGGCCTGGCTTTTGCTGAGGCTGGATATGAACTTGCCATCCTCCTGACTCAACTTTCTGAGCCACTTGGGATTATAAGTGTGTGCCACTGCATCTGGCAAATATTTTTGTTTATTGCAGAATCTTGACTGATCAATAGGCAGGACAGGCCAGAAATCCTGGGAAGTTAATGTCCCCTACAGTAGCCTTCATGCAATGACCAGTGTGAGAGAGGTTAAGTATTCTACTTTCCTTAGCTCTTGGGTGGTACAACTCTAAGGCATATTCTGTCCCCTTTGCAGGGTCACTCAGCAGGCTGACTCCACCTACAGTGCAGATCTGATCACTAACAAGCTTTGATTATCTTCTTTTCCTGTCCAGTCTTACTTTGCAATTGTCCTGTTGGTGTTTGTAAAGATGAATCCTCTCCAAATGAGTTGCACTCAAATCCTGACCTCAGGGTCTGCTCCTAAGAGGTTGAACCTAAGATGCTGGCATTGCTTGAGAAATTTATCATCATTAAGGAAGATCAATCAATCAATTAATCAATCAAGTAGATCCTCACTTACTCTACCTATGAATCATGTTACAAAGTGTTGCATATGCCAAACTAACTAACAAACAAAAGCTTAGCTGTGTAATGTTGAGAAAACTCATTTATCATTCCTGTTCCTTGTCTGTGGAACAGAGATAGAATGACCTCTTTCACAGTACCGTTATATAAGTTAAATGAAATATATGCAAAATGTTTAAAATAAGGCCTGGCATTTGGTGAGTTTTCTTTTAGAATATTATTTTTATTTCATAATCAAGTAAGAGTAATTAAAAATAAACGAGAAAGCTAAAAAATAATTATTCTAGTTAATTCACAAACAAATGACGTGCTCCATCCCCAGCCCTTTTTAATGTTTTATTTGGAGACAGGGTCTTGCTAAGTTGCTCAGGGTCTCACTAAGTTGCTGAGGCTGGCTTTGAACTCACGATTCTCCTGCCTCAGCCTCCCAAGCTGCTGGAATTACAGGCATGTGCCAACACATCTGGCCAACCTTTTCCTTACCTTGTATTTTATCCAGAATCAGACCAACTCCCATCATAAGCAGAGCCTATATGCAAACACTAAAATGTGCACCTATTCTATCCCCTCACATTGATT